GGCCTGTATGTTTTAGGGCATACACGGCAGGTGCTGTAAATTCCATGACTTCGTGCGTGTGGCTGCAGAACTGGAGGGATGCGTGTTTCAGCAAACCCAGCGACTCAAACTTAGGGCACTCATGTTAGCACACTTTCCCCAAGTGATCCGCAACGTCCGCTTTGGGATCCCACCCCCCCCCTGCCCCCCTCCGCCGAAAAGCACAGGGGCAATTGCAAGGTCTGAGGGTGGGGGGTTTAGGGTTTAGGGTTCAGGGTTTAGGGGGGAGCATCTTAGTTAGTGGTCCTCGCGGCAAGAATCCCACTACTACTGAGGGCTCTATATTCTATCCTTACGACGCGGCCTATTTGGACCCTATAGTAGCAGTTCCCCGAAAGCCTAAACCCTAAACCCAGGGTTCTGTTTTATTTGGAGGTGACTTATTTGGTTCCCCCTATCTTCTGAAAGCCCCAAAGCACTTCCAGGCCTGAGGCAATGGCAAAGTCAATTGGGACTTATGACTTAGGAGTTAAGAAGGATTTAGGACTTAGGGCTTTAGGGTTTAGTGCCGGAAATCTACCACAGACCTACAGGAAGCGAGAGATTCGAGGGATCATACCCCCTAAGCATTGGGAAGATTTGTCGGCAGCTACTACAAGTAGCACGATGAGGACAAGAAGTACTGCTGCCACTATGTCTACCCTGTCGCATGACTAAACCTCGCACTACGAATGCGACTACGAGTTACGAGTAGCACTGCTAGTACAGAGCGCGAGTGCGGACTACCCCTGTGAGTACGATTTTTGCGATGGTTACAGCGAGTTTTTGAATGCGTGTCATGTTCGAACTCGAATTGCTTGCAGCACCCGTCCTCCACTCTGCTAGCAGGATTCTGAAGTTGTTCGTTCGTTACAACGGTGCGAACATTCATGCGAATCCCTCTTTTGGGTGATGACTGTCATTCGTGCAATGCTTGTGCTCGCGCTGCTTACTCTGGGAAGTGCGACTTCCATGACTACTGCCAGCACTGCTATTGCTACTTTCTATTCAGGCATTGCACCTTCATTGTTGAAAATGGTGCATGCATGTAGTCGCACGAACACCACGGCAGTATCGACATTGACCGTGCTATCAAGGTAGCATGATTGTCGTCCTCTGCACTGGCTTAGAACTCACAACGCATCATCATAAGACGTCTCCAAGACTGGCTTGGCTGCAGACGGTTGCAGGTGGGCCGCTGCTTCTCAGATCCTGCAGAAGAATCTTTCTGGGATCCTACAGCAGTTTGGCTTAGACAATTAGAGGCTCCAAACTATCTGGTGGCACACCGTGCTGGTTTGTACTACAGCACAATTAACGATACTACTCCGCTAGACCATACATATATATATATATATATATATATGTGTGTGTGTGTGTATATATATATATATGTGGACCTCTCTACAGGTCTGCTGTTTATTTACCTATTTCTTGAGTTAGACATACATGTATACACATTCGTACACACCTTTATACAAGTATACACCCGAAATTTCAAAAAAAAAAATGTGCAGATACATACATGCATACATACATACCTACTTACCTACCTACATACATACATACCTACGTACCTACCTACCTACCTACCTACCTACCTACCTACCTACATACATACATACATACATACATACATACATACATACGCACATGCATACATGCATACATGCATACACACCCATGTGTATATATATATATACATATGTACGCATGTATGTAGGCATGCATGCATTAATGCATGTGTATATACATGTGTGTATATGCATATATATATATATATATATGTATAGACATGTATATATATACACATATATTGCACATGAGCACATGGTGATACATAACTTTTGACTATCTTGCCCCCATACTATTTCATCCAGACCAGATTGGGCTCAACCACGTCTACCGTGCTGAACCATCAACTTCTTGGCATAATGAGAACCGTCTTGCCTTTTGTGTGATCACTACTATTCTTGAACTTCGTCGCATGTGTATTCCCGTTCTGACTCCGGATGTCCCACCTGCTGATGTTGCGGTGCTGCGCAGCTCAGACTCTAGGTCCTGCAGCACTAGAAGCTGGGGTTTGGTAGCTATGTCATCAAGAAGGGAGGGCTTTCTGTGTCAAAGAGGTGACTGCGTTTGCCACATGTTCACAAGGTGTCGCCAGCAAAATGCATGGTCCGTCACACTTGGGGGGGGGGGGCGCATGGACGGGTTTGGTGAGAGGCTTCGGGAGCATGGAAGTGGGAAGATGCCAAGAGCTCCTGAATCCGCTGTTTCGCTGCCCGCAGCTGCTGATCCTTGATATGCACCTGGCTACAGAGACTGATCGAAGTGATGCACTGGCTCGGATGTTTGGAACTTGAAGTCATGAGGTGTGGGATTTCTAGGGTTCTAGTTGAATTGAACGAGCTATCGGCTGGATGTCCGCAGGGCTCAGCGAACTACAAGATCTGAGAGGCGGAAGGCGGACAGCCCGTCCCAGATCCCAGGGCCCCACATCCCTTTTTACAGGATATGGGGGTTTCCCAAAATAGGGGGCCCTACTATAGTGCCCTGAATAGTAGAGTCCATATCATAAGGAGCCCAAATTTTCCCAGAAAACCAGCACTCCCTGGGAAGGAATGGACGATTGCACTGCCTTTTGTTGCCTGCATAAAACCACTGCCGTACAGTCTACGACCTTAAACCTGAAGCCCAAGACCAAAACCTTGCAGATCCTCCTGTAGTAAGCCTCACGCGCCGCTTAAGTGACCCTGATAACACGCCTTGAGTGACGCCTAGTAACCCTTGAGTGGCCCAGATTCTACCCCTTACCTGACCCCTGATGGTGCCCCTCACGTGACGAATAGTACCCGCGTCCAGGTAATGACTGATAATGCCCCTTGAGTGACCCACAGTACCCCCCGTTAAGTGACCCTGATAGCACCCCATAAGTGACCATGATAGTACCACTTATGTGACCCTTGCAATACCCCTAAATGACCCTGATAGTACCCCGCAGTCACTTGACGCTGGTAGTACCCCCTTCTCGAATCGTTCGCCTCCTGCTCCTTCTTCTTCAGCAAGGCTATGGAGCGCTCCTTCTCACGCTGCTTCTCGAGGGCCACCTTGCAGGTCGGGGTCACTCCGAAACCGATTCCCTGCATAACATATTCCTGGGGACCACTAGTTACTAGTAACCCCTTATTGCAGGAGGGGTCATTTCTCAGGCGTCTGCACTGCGGGGTGTCCGGGGGTTCAAGGTTCGGCTCGCGGATGTGGATAACGCTGGTGCCGGGTGCGGATCCCATTCGAGCTCAGTTCGGGGTGTAGACCCCATCGTTTGAATCCGTCTAGTTCATCGCGACCTAGCCCCGAAATCATGTGCCTAACCTGAATAGCCAGAAGCCCACTGTGCCAAGACTTAAACTGCCACAACAGCAGCTTTAGCTCTGAGACGATGCTTGCAGCCACAGGCACTTAAATCCTAGAACTCCAAAATACTGCAAGCTAAAGCCCCACCACACACACACGTACACACCCATCATTACACCCGTTGTTGTGAAATGTTGGTGCCAGTTCTCACAAGTAAGAACCATCAATACACTACGAGATTCTGTGAGCGGCTGTAAAACATTCTGCCCCATGCTGCTTTTCAAAGTACCGAAGTTGCAGTAATTCGGCACCACGAGCATCGGTGGGATGCCTACTACAAAAATCCGCTCTACCGAACTCGTTTCAACGACCTCCTAGAACCCGGGTTGCACATCAACTGCAGCCTCACGAAAACCCCAGAACTCTTGCAAAGAATCAGTTACAACTTAAGTTACAACCCTATGAGGCCTGAACCCTAAACCCTAAGCCCCGCGACATCTTGTAAGGCTCCGATGCTCCGCTCACACTTTTCGCGGCCTTTGCTTGGTACTCCTCTCCACTTGGTTTAGTGCTTCGGGCCTTTCGAGCTAGCGTTGAGGGGCTAGGGTGTTAGGTCACGGCTCAAGGTTGAGGGTTGGGACTTCATGGTTGACGGTAAAGGCTGCAGGGTTCAGCATTTAAGTCTTGAGGCTTACGCTCCGGAGAGTAATCATGTTGTCTTGACTTGTTGACCCTGTCAAGGTCACCTCTGCAAATGACTATGGAAAACTCGGGACTAGCATCCAAAACGCTAGCAAACCTGAACAACAGAAACAAAACTTAAACCTGCTCTAGCTCCTTACCATCCTATGGACCGTCTGCTGCGCAGCATTCACCGACTCTCCATCGGTGAACCCCAACCCTGACTCCCAGCACCGCATCCTAAATTTGCCAGACCCTCAACTGGGTTAGCCTTTAAACCCTCTGAAAATATTTATATAAAGGGTCCCTTTTTAACCCAAATAAAATGTCCCAAAAGCCAACCCAGTCAGCCCCGAAACTGAATCGATTATCAGACCCTAAAGCACTCCTGCTCCTGTCCTTCTTCTGCGAAAAGGTGGGAGCCCATAAAATAAGGGAGCCTTTTTCGAGCCTGTTTGGTATGATCCCCCGGACCGCAAAATAGTGCGCCCATAGTTAATTTTGGGAACTTGTATAGAGCCTAGATAGTAAGAATCTTACTACAAGGGACCCCTAAACAACGTACACGTACTTGCAAGAATCTCCACCTCTTCAAACCAGCACCCTAAGCCCAATCGTACAGACTTATAGGGGTTAAGATTTAAGTGTTACGAACACCCCCCCCCCCCCACACACACATTCATCTGGTCCGTTCCTCGTCTCGACGCGACAACAGCTCCAAATTCTGCTCTCTCATCTGGTCCTCCTTCCTCTCACGGATTTTCGGTTGAGGGTTTAGAGTTTTTTAGGCTTTTCGTTTTTTCGCGTGGTCCTTGCGAGGATGTTCCTTGTTCTTGACTCGGGTAATCTCCGGAATTTCGGAGGGATTTGGGGCTTCGTATGCGACTCCTGCAGCTCCGCACAGCGTCAGCTCCTTCGCTACAAGCCCAAGATGCCGCCGAAAACCCCGAAAGGAGCTAAGGGGTTCTACAAGGAATCCAGAGCTTCCCATGGCGCTTTATCGGTCAAGGCCTTCCGACTAAGAAGAGTGAATAAGGCACATAAACGTCTACTGAGCAAAGACTTATATAGAACCTTTACACAACTATTCAATTCTATTTACAACTCTTACGAACCCTCTGTAGAACAACCTCATGTAAAACTCTGATGTTGTGCGTTTAGCTTCTCCCTTTTCATTGCAGGGACCGAGGGAAAGCCGGTCTTCGAGTTCTGGGCCGGGCTTTGAGTAGAAGCTTGCTACAGGGGCTATAGCAACATGCGCAAAAGGGAACAAGCGCCCAGACTTTGGGCGAGGCACAACTGTGAATAGATGCAACCGACATGTTCTGCCATTCAGCTGCGTGCGCCGGAGGTTGCGTCTGATCCCCGCGATATCCCGCAATACGATTTTCGGCGTAAGTTCTCTCTTAGGCGCAGAGGAGTGGAGGTCTTAGTCCGGAATCGGACTCCGATGCTATGGTTTGGATTGGAGCCCTATGTGGACTACCCAGACGATTGTTTCCACCGAAAACCTTCAGGTTCCGGGTGCTTTGTTTAGCGGACGACGCTTGAACCGAACAACCGACTTCGCAAGAAGCTGGGACTGCCCCTGTGCCGGGCACCTGGTTCATGGTTGAAGCCTCCGACACAAAAACTTAAACTTCAAACTCGAAATCCTGAACCTTCCTCGAGCAACCACTTTGGCAAACAATGCGGCCCCACCCCTTGAACCTGCTTGACATTAGATCATCTCAAATTAAATCACCTCAGCCCATCAGCCGAACTTTAAACCCGGACCCCCAGTTGCTGAACCCAAGGCGGTCCGGATGGAGATTTCCGTGAAACCCTAACCAGGCCATAACCTAAACCCCAAGCCCCAAAAAACCCTCAGCCGAAGAAACCGACCCCGAGTGTCCTGCGCAGTGCATCCTCGAGGGCGGTGACCTCCGGAAAAGCAAAACTCTTATGCATGCCGGTTTGGGGTTTAAAGGTTTCGGGACACACGGCTGTAGGTTCAGATTCATGCAGACATACCTAGACACGTACAGCATATATCCGGCGAGGCCTCAAAGCGTTTATTTTCCGTATCCACCCATCCTCTTTTGTTCTTCCGGACATTGTGGCGGTTGCGAAGGCTGGGTGGGCTGGCTGGGTGGGCTGGGCTGGCTAAGCTGTGGGCTGGCTGGGCTGGGGCTGAGCTGCTCACTGCCATCCCAACAAGGTGGGGAATGGGACCCAAATGAAAAACTCTCCTCTACCCGGCTGTGGTGTAGCCAAGTGATCTTGCCTCAGCCATCGAGTGGCCCGGCGCCCATTTCAGCATGACGGGCTTGCAGGCGCGCGTTTCACGTGTTGGCATGCGCGTCATGCTCTTCAACTTTGGGCGTCATGCTCTTCAAACTTGGGCCACGGAAAATTGCGCGAAACATCATCAAAGGGCAAATGAGCGGCCAGCTTACGCCTTGTGTCAGAAGTATCTTTGTCAAGAGCCAAAAGCCTGCGCAATTCGCACACCCTGCCGCAAAACTTTGCCGCTGCTTGAGGCAAAAGATCGGCGCATGCGGCGATTGCGAAAGTCAAAAGCTAGAACGAAGGAAGGGAAGGAACCCTTAGTGCAGTGAACGGGGGAGCACCTAAAGAGCAACAGCTCAGGCACGCCGCTCGGAATGCGGACTCGGTGTGCGCACAGAAGTCCTGCCATTCTTGGTCGGCGTTATTGCCCAGAATGGTGCGGTTGTCCCAAGCACGAGCAACAGCGGTTGCCCACTCTTCACTGGACAGACCGTCAGGACGCGAATAACGGGCAGGAGGACAGAGCAAATGACGACTGTGAAGGGCTTGGTCGTGTGTGGAACCTGCACCTGACCCAAGTAATAATCACCGTATCTACGAATGTCCGGCGAGGGTCTGCACCACATGACCGTAAGAAGGCATCGAAATAAAGGTGAGAATGTTGCCAAACTCGCCAACGGAATGATTGCGGCGAAGCCACTTTCACCTCCTTGTGCAACTCTTTTAGTTGAGGGTCTTTTCGGACACGACGGTAGTGTAAGGTCATTTCGGACACGAAGCGATCTCCCATAGGGGTCGTGCTAGTTTATAGTCGCTGCGGACTTTTTATCCTTCCTCTTCTCACATTTTCTTCTTCTGAAGAGCTTTTGCTTTCCTCGTGCCTTTAGCACGATTCTTCTCTTCCTGTTGTTGAAGATGAAGGCACTGGGCCCTGCGGCCGCCCGGTGCGACCGGCGCCAACGGCACAGATCAACATTTGCGAGCTCACAACACAGCTTGGGCTCGGCCGTAGGTCTCGTGGTGGCCTGAAGCCGCTCTTGTCTCTCAGCCTTCCCCTCGACAATGGCCAAGCCAGCGTGCACCGCGTGTTGACAACAAACTTCGGCAGCGGGCAGCTTCATGCCAAGCAGCAAACTGGTCATCCAGGGACGTAGACTGGGGCAAGGCGATCGGCGAAGCAGGATGCACTGTCTGGGGTCTAGCACCCGAAAGGGGAGTCCACGGTACACAGCGCACCGATGATATCGATTTTCGGGAAACAACCTGAGCTTGAGGGATCCAGGTCCCGGTAAAGCAGACTGCCTGGTGATGGGAAATACCAGACACACAAGTGGCAGCGCACTCGACATCCCTGAAGGTTCGCTAAACCAGCCCTGCACAGAGGGCATGACAGGCAAAATGCAAGCACCCGCGGCTGTGGCTAGAGCGCGGCAGGCCTCCTTCCAATTAGAATCACCAACCAGGAGGCAAGGGCGCTGCAGCTCCCGAGCAGTTTGTCGGATCCCATGCCGGGCGTCGGGCTCAGCGAACTAGGCATCTCCGTAAAAGGACAAGACAGAAAAGAGAAACCCACCACAAAGCCTGTGGGCGGCGCTAGGACACGGCAGGGGACAAGGGAGCTCCGTGGACTTCCCGGGAGACCGCCATAGAGGGCTGTCCGCCAAGCCCAAGCAAAACAGGAAGATTGCTTCAATCAAGAGGGACAAGAACTGCGTCCAGAAACGCAAACCGCAATTGGGAATGATGGGTGGCTGACCCAAGACCATCGAAAAAATGATGGGACGTGCATCCTCAACCCACCCCAAACCAGCCAAAGCTCGCTCGTAGATGTTGGTCTAAGCACGAAACCTCTAAGGGCTGCAAAACCCTGACACACAAGAACGCCAGCCCTAAAAAAGACAGCTCAAACTCTCACAAGAGATGGTGGGTGGCAAAACCTAAGCCCGAACTTTTAGAACAACTCCAAGCTGCAAGCATAAGAAAGTTGCAATCGCTGTCTTTGGCTTACAAAAAAAACCCGCCAGGTCTGTCAAGCCTACCAGGTGCAAAAATGTTCGCAAAGATCCTACTCACTCACTCACCCACCCACCCGGCAAAATCCGAAACCCCTGTCCCTCTCCTCTTCCGTCCCTCTCTCCCTCGCTCCACCTTCCTTCCTCGCTCCCCTCCTACCTCCCTTCTTGGGGCGGGGTGAGTGGGTGGGGCTTTTTCTGCAAGCTTTAAACCACACTGGATCAGGGTTAGGGTATCGGTATAGGGAATTGGCTGCTTTGGGGCCTGCTGGTTGAACCTCGGACCTCTTAAGCCTGAACCCCATTGGCGGGTTCGCGTAGCGGTTAAGCTGCATAAATCCACATATGTGCACAGAAATACCGAAGGAGCTACCTGCCACCCCACATCCATGAACTGTGCAGTCACAGCCCTTGAAGCCCAATCCTCGAATCCAACAGCACGACAGCTGCAAGATAACTGCAAACCCTCAGCCCCCGAGCCCTCCCCTCCTGAAAAACCCTAGATCACTAAATTCCGTGGGTTTAGGGTTTAGGGTTTAGGGTTTAGGGTTTAGGGTTTAGGGTTTAGGGTTTAGGTAGTAGTCCTTGTACCAGCTCCTATTCTAATCCGACAGGATCTCAACCTGGAGTAACGATAGCCCCTTTCGAATCCATCTAGAACCCCTTCTAGCACCCGTATAGAAGAAGCCTAGAAGCCTTGTGGATCCCTTGAAGGAGCCCTACACCGCCTGGCGGCGGTGTTGGTCCACGGCCCCCTGCATCTGCTGGGCCTGCCCGCTTTGCCGGCCTCAAGCAATCTGCCTTAAAAAGGCCGAGGCAGGCTCTAGGGGTCAGGGTTCAGGATTTAGGATTTAGGGTTTAGGGTTTAGGGTTTAGGGTTTAGGGTTTAGGGTTTAGGGTTTGGGGTTTAGGGTTTAGGGTTTAGGGTTTAGGGTTTGGGGTGCAGGATTTTCAAGGATCAGGGTTCAGGAGTTCAGGCTTTCACGTTTTGGTTTAGGACTCGTTTGAAATATTTGGGGGTCCTCGCCTTGCGGCTCACGGCTTTCGACGGAAATGTCTGGGAGTTCGAGGGTCTCTGGAAATTTCTGGTAGTATACATGAACCCTAAAACCTAAACCCTCAACTAAACACCAAACCCTAAACTTAAACCCTAAACCCTCAACCCTAAAGCGCATCGCAGAGCATCGCAGGCTCGGATGCTGTGAGGGAGGTGGAGAGCTTTCGGCCTCTGCTTCTGGGACGTCCAAGAAAGGATTGCACAAGGGTTTACTCCAGGGGCCAAAATACGAATAAAAAGAATAATACTAATAACTATTAGTTTGAATCGGGCTTTGAGGCATCATATCTTAGAAGCATAATAAGGAGCTCTCAGAAATAAAACTGGTGCATAACTATTCAGGCTTCTAAGTTACACCGTCTTCCATCCAGCAGTGCGACACCCTGAAATCCTGGCGGAAGGCCAGGAAACCTAAACCAGTGATTCCTGAAGTGCGTCCACAGGCAGGTAGTGGGAAGAAGCTGTGTGCCAAGGTACCTGGCCTTATGGGAGCCAGCTTTAGGCCCCCAACCGGCCATCATAACTCAGACTGCCGCTGAAACATTGCAAAGGCTGGCAAGCCCGCGTTACAAAATCGCAGGGTAGTATCCCAAACCGAAGCGCACCCCGCGCCAAACCGAAGTGCAGGAAGGCCTTCCATGTCGAGGACAGCTGCGGCCAGGCGTTCCTTCTCTGCCTCCGTCATCCGCCACCCGAAAACCCCCAAAACCGAGGATCCGAGGTTGGGAAGGCTGCGGGCCTGGAGCCTCAGCCCGCGAGGCTACAAATCGGCTCCATTGAACCCTGAAGTCACCAAACTCCCAATCCTACACGAGCAAAGCCTCCAGCTGAAACCCGAGAGCCCTGGCCGCCTGTACGATACTAGACTTCCCCGAGAAGGGATGCCCAAGTTGGAGAAACGAGAAGAAGCACGGGTATTGCGCCTGGCAGCGACGAACCTCATTCTGCCATCGCTCGGCCATCTTCTCTGCATCCTGGCAAGCTTGGAGCCATGTTACCGGAGGGAGATCCTGAACGAGGACGAGGACGACGACAACGACCACTGCCACTACCAGTCGCTACCACCATATCAATATCCTGCTTTCACTCCTACTTATACTACTCGGACCCCCAGCCACCCCTGCTGCTACTGCCACCAGCACTGCTCGGACTGGTCTTCTGAGTAGGCCAGGTTGGTCGATGTGCCGATATTTGGTACCTTTTTCACACACCACCAAACCGATGTTTTCGAACTACGACGGCTTCGGCGGAGGCCGGCACACAGGGGCCGCTGGATGCTCAGGGCGCCTTGCGCTAATCCTTTCATCATGGGCGTATGTTGGAGATCGCCTTAAACAATGTGCACCAACATGTCACCCTGATCCATGTCTCCTTGGACGACTTTCAATGCCGCGCACTGGTTTTTATCAATATCTTGATTGGGCTTTGGCCTGTGGCAACAGTACACACAGGTGCGCAACACAAGACAGTACCCTTCAATCTCATGCGGTATGAGAAAAGCTGCAAAAAACTCATGCCCCTCCGAAACATCCGTGACCTGCTGCTTCTTTTCTGCCATGATGGCAGTGGTCTGCCTCTCCTTCACATACTGCTGTACCTGGGAAATCTAGGTCGAGCAACACGGTGTGGGGTTGCTACTGCCAGTGGCTACCATCGCGACTGGAGGTTCTAACGAGGTCAGTGGGGCGAGGTCAGGCACTGTGACGGCTGTGAGGAGGAAAGTGGGCAATAACAGAACAGCGAGACTGAGACCAGAAACTATCGCTCTTCTCGCGGCCACTCTTTTGCACCCCACCGCTACCTCTCCCCGACCCCGAACCCTCCTACCCCTGATCCTCCCCGCACTCCTGATCCTACTCCTCTTCCTTAGTAGCAGCAGCACTAGTTTCTCCAGACAAGCTTCTTCCTCCGCAACCCCCGCATCTTAATGAATGATAGTCCAAATGGCCCCAAAACGCGACAGGCCCGAGTAGCAACGATCCTGCATGACCCGATAGAAGCAGTAGGGGGCTTCGCTGACACGGTTGTTAGACAGGTCATGCCGGATTCGTACCATCCACCGTACCACTACCACCACCACTACCAGCCACTACCACCACCGCCGTCACCACCACCACCACTACCACGACCACGACTACGACTACGACTATGACTACTACTACTACTACTACTGCTGCTGCTACTACTACTACTACTACTATTTCTACTGCCACCAGTGCTCCTACTACCAATACTACTACTGCTGCTACTACTACTACTACTACTACTACTACG